GTAGAGTAGACCAGCTCAGGCATTTTAATAGCTCATTGACAAAGGTGGGGGCTGTTAAGAGCGATTGTAAGAGAATTTGAATTCAAGGGAACTTGAAAGGAATGCAGGTTTTAAATGACATTGGTCCACTAATTCTATATACCGTAGCTAACGTAAAACACAATAATTTGTTCAGAAGTAGCTGGCCTCCAGCAACCCAATATATAGGACGATTGCTGTTGCAGAATTTACAGATTAACAGAGTTGGGAGGGACCTTGTAGGTCATCTAGTCTAACCCCCTGCCCATGCAGGAGATGACACCATTTCTGACAAATAGCAGTCCAGTCTCTTCTAGAAAGCCTTCAGGGATGAAGCTCCCACAACTGCCAAAGGCAAATCACGTGTGTGTGCACGAGTGAGTGGGACAGCATGAGACCTGCCCGCCCCCCTCACCTCACAGGTGGAATGGGTGCACAGATCCTCCAGGAAACCATCTCTGTACCTTCAACAGGTGTACATGCAATCTCCACATTCAGGGCAACACCTGTCCTTGGGGGTGGCAGGATGCTGGCATGGGATGGGTGGGCAATCCTCCACTTCACAAGTCACTCTGCCATCCTGGGTGGGTGAAAGTGTTAATCCCCCCCCCACACAAGCGATATATTTTGGACTGAAAAGCATAAAAGCACAACGATTGCATGAGTAACCTCGGTTAGATATTGTAGGAAATTCATTCACAATTAGGCAGATAACCGAGGCAGAACACCTACTGTGGTTTAATTTTATTTTTTTTTCCAACCAGAGGGGATATGTTTTACTAGAAAATTATTCAGAGCAAGACGCAGAGGCAGGGCTGAAATGAAACTGAAATTTTTATATTCAGAGGAAACTCATTATTTCCTTACCAGATTCATTAGCGGCTTCAAGGCAAAGCTTTTAATGTACTGCCTACACTGGGAAAGTTCTTAAAAATTCAGGGATATTCAGAAATGTATCCGCCTTGATATCCTGTTTCCCCAAAAATAAGACCAGCCCACATGTGCTAAAATAAACTTTCCCCTGAAAATGAGCCCTCCACAAAAATATTGTAGCCATGAGGTGACCACGCTCGCCGCTTCCTGCAGCTGAAAAATAATAAGCCCTCCCCGGAAATAAGGCCAAGCACTTATTTCGGGAGTCAAAAACACTGTAGTAGCCCATGCTGAATTGTATTGCACAGTCAAACATCAAGAATTAACCAAGGGCAAAATTTTATGACATTTTGGTCATAAAACATAGCCAGATTGGGCCAGTGAACCAGGCTAGGTGGGAAGCGATTGTGAGTTCTAGTCCCGCCGTAGCCATGAAAGCCAGCTGGGTGATCTTGGGCCAGTTAGTCTCTCTCAACCCAACGCTCCTCAAAGGATTGTTCTTGTTGGGAAAATAGGAGGATGAAGCTGTGCTGCATATGTTCGCCACCTTGAGTTATTTGTAAAAATAATAAATGCATTCAATTCTGCAGCTACTAAAATTGTTGGTCAAGCAGGTTCAAAAACAGCCAGGGAATAAGTGATGGAAGCCTGGGAAAAGGGCCGCTGTCAGTCAAGAGCAGGGGTCGGCAACCTTAAACACTCAACCACAAAGGTTCTAATCGTTCACTTCTGGAGCAGAGCAGAAGTCCGGCTCCCCAACCATAGAGTCTCCTAGCCCCTTTTCATCTCCTGTCCGGAAGTCCAATTCCCCACCATAGAGTCTTCTCCTAGTGCTGCGTCCTTTTTCCTCTACCTGTCCTAACCAAAAGCCCTATCAATTGTGGAGTCGACCAGCTACAGGGAGCCACAGCAGAGGGATGAAAGAGCCACACTCGGCTCCAGAGCTGCAGGTTGCCAACCCTTGGTCAACAGGAATGCTGCTTTATCCTCAGCTTATCAAGTACTTAGGAGACAGGGCTTGGCAACACAAGGAAACAACAGCCAAGGATTTAATAGCAGGCCATCAACACCCCAATCAACAATTAAAAAGCCACACACAACCAGTTTGAAGAACTGGCAAATACCACCTCTGGCCAGTCCCAAGGTGTGGTGGGAATGGAGATTTTGCAGTATCCTTCCTCAAGGAGTGGGGAGGAAATGGGGATTTTGCAGTATTCTTCCCAATGGTGAAATTCAATTTTTTTTACTACTGGTTCTGTGGGATGGCTTGGTGGGTGTGGCAGGGGAAGGATACTGCAAAATCTCCATTCCCACCCCACTCCAGGGGAAGGATACTGCGAAATCTCCATTCCCACCCCACTCCAGGGGAAGGATACTGCAAAATCTCCATTCCCTCCCCACTCCAGGGGAAGGATACTGCAAAATCTCCGTTCCCTCCCCACTCCAGGGGAAGGATACTGTGAAATCTCCGTTCCCTCCCCACTCTGGGGCCAGCCAGAGGTGGCATTTGCTAGTTCTCTGAACTGCTCAAAATTTCCGCTACCGGTTCTCCAGAACCTTTCAGAACATGCTGAATTTCATCCCTGATCCCTCCCCGGGAGTGGTGTGGAAATGGAGATTTCGCAGTATCCTTCCCCTGCCATACCCGCAGATCCGGTAGTAAAAAATATTGAATTTCACCACTGGTATAATGCTAGGAAAGGTGGAAGAACGAACAGCATAGTAGACGGATTTACTCACAGTTGGGTGATCTGAAAGAGGTTAGGGACAGATTGTCATGGAGAAAACGTACGTTGCTTCTAGGAATTGAAAACTAATTGATGGCCCACAATCAATCAAAGCCGCAAAGCAACTCGTCAGTTTTCAACAGCTATGAACAAAGCCTGAGTAAATGTGACCAGTGAGATCAGATTAAAGTCAACATTTAGGATTTAATGTAATACTTTCTTGCCAAATAGACGTTGTAAGAGTGCTGAGTCTCGCCCTGCTGTGGGGAAAAAGATTTGTTGACTTGCATTATGTAACCTACTACAGAACTTGTGTTTTCTTTTCTTACAACTATGCCAAAAGTAAACCAGGTTTGTACTAACTAGACATACCTCATACATACTGAGCCAAAAAAACCCTATGTTATGGCTTAATATATGTATATATCAGGGGTGAAATGCTACCACTTCGCGCTGGAACTGGTACTAAAAATGCTACTGGTTCGCTCGAACCACTAGTAAAAAATATGCATTAAAAAAGTTTTTAAAAAAGAGGTCCCGATGATCAGCTGGGATAATCAGCTGTGCGCCAAGCGATGGTAGGAACTTTTGTTTGTTTGTGAAGTCCAGCTGCTTTTGCATTGCATGTGAGTCAAGTTGTGTGTAGCTTTGGTGTTATTTTTTTGTGTAAAGTGTGATAGTTTCTTTGAGCTCTCTGTGAGGGTTCCTGCTTGTTGTTGCAAGGGCCATTTTGTGTGAAGTCCAGCTGCTTTTGCATTGCATGTGAGTCAAGTTGTGTAGCTTTGGTGTTATTTTTTTGTGTAAAGTATGATAGTTTGTTTTTGAGCTCTCTGTTTTTGAGCTTCCCACCAATCCAGTAGGGGAAAGTTTTTAATTTCACCACTGGTGTGTGTGTGAGAGAGATATAGCATATGTGTGTGTGTGTGTGTGTGTGTGTGTGTGTG